AAACAGCAAATCACTGCCTAGTACCTAAAAATAACAGCTGCCCGTGTTCCGAGGCTTAAGTGAATAATTCCTAGATGTAAAGGCTTAGGACAGGTTTGAATTGAAACTAAATTGATGCTAATTTTCTTTCTCATTTAAATACTTCAAGTAGGTGTGCATTTGGAAACCTTTTAAGATGGTCAACATATATTTTCTTCCTTGCTGTCCAACTGATTCTGGGTTTTGCTTTTTCAGCTTGCAAATGAAATGCCAAGTCCTAACATGCCCTTATAATCAACTGTTTATCATAAACCTTGCCTACTACAAGACTTTGGTTTTATTTTTTACTCACTGATACTACTTTTAAAATGCAGATTTTCAAACACTTTACCAATTAAATATATATAAATGGTAAAAAATAGCAGCTTTTTTCCTTGTTTTCAAGACACATTTGAAATTTCAGTAAATGAACAATCTTGTTTGATCCTCTTTACAGGTGTGACTGACTTTTTGCATGCATGGGGGTGTAGATAACACTGACCAAATGCCTATTCAAAGTAACACTTCCTGCATGCATGGGGGTTTAGATAACACAGACCCATTGCCCATACACAGTAACACTTCCTGCATGCATGGGGGTGTAGATAACACTGACCCAATGCCCATTTAAAGTAACACTTCCTGCATGCATGGAGGTGTAGATAACACTGACCCAATGCCCATTTAAAGTAACACTTCCTGCATGCATGGGGGTGTAGATAACACTGACCCAATGCCCATTTAAAGTAACACTTCCTGCATGCATGGGGGTGTAGATAACACTGACCCAATGCCCATTTAAAGTAACACTTCCTGCATGCATGGGGGTGTAGATAACACTGACCCAATGCCCATTTAAAGTAACACTTCCTGCATGCATGGGGGTGTAGATAACACTGACCCAAGGCCCATTCAAAGCAACATTCAAATGAATGACTTCTGAGAATCAGAAAGAATGACTTGTGATAAGGATTTGAACAAATGAATTCAAGATGATTTGGACAAGAAATTCAAGATGAAGATTTGGATGAATGATTGAAGACAAGAGGATCAAGATGAATAATTTAAACCCGCAAAGCTGCCATTACATGCAAAAGTCTTATATGCCAAAAAATCTAAATAATACTGAATCTTTAAAGATCATGGTCCTAAAAATCATTGTGTTCCATTTCAACCATATAATATCAATGTTTCATCACATTATGAGCCATATAATATTTCCATCGAACTGAGAAACCTGGTCATTTTTCACATGTGTACGAATTTATTCGATGTTCGTCAGTGACATCCATAGGTCAACTGATTTCACTCAAATGATGGAGCACAAGATTTGAAGAGATCATAATAAGGAAACACCAAACTAGATTGGTCTCTCTTAAGTCCAATTTCACCTTTCAGTATTCCAATACTCCAGCTGATCACCAATATTCTCCTGAGTCTCTTATTTTTGTCTAATGTACACTTTCTTCTCAGATCAACTTAAAAAAAAGTGAGATTGCCTCTCTTTATTCTTCTTGAATCAATTTGTGCGCTACATGCAAATATTGTTGTTATTAAATTCGTCACTAAAGGTATCTACTGAATGTATCACATTACTACTTTTGGAACAATCTAAGAAAAATCGGAATTAGGAGTGACTTTATTGATTAAACTAAGGGGTGGCACCTCCTGATTGTGAACTGAATATCTGAACATCATTTAAACCGAACATTTTGATTATTTTAAAGAACGGTTTAAGTCTGCTTTTTAACAAATCATTTCCTTCCTTCCAAAATATAGTTAGAATGGTTAAATGTATGACAAATGGCGGCACTGGGGCTTTAAGATGAGGATGTGGATCCAAAATTATTTCCAAAGACAACAGAAAGTGCTAAGAAAAAGAACTTAAAAGAAACTTTGCTGAGGTCTAAGCACAAAGTTCATTAGTCATATAAAGTCATTATCTAGTTCTTCAAAATTCATTTGAAAGAACATAAAACTTGAATACAAAACTTACTTCTTCCTAACTGCCCATCAAAAGAAGGAAAATACATAATATTAAATGGATTATGAACATAAACAGTGAACCTACAAGTAAATTAGTCAAAACAGATATAGAGACTCTCCCTTGATTTTAAAATAAACTGATCAAACTTTAAATAAATATGTACCAAAATTCTTCAAGTTAGTACATTTGTACATGATATACCAATAGATATAATTTAGTAAAATTTGAAGCAAATAAATGAAAAAGAGTCTTCCATCATCATAACAAAAGAACTTTTCAAACAAATACAGGATAATATCAATATTATCAACAACTTGTACTCATACATGTTGCAGTCATTATCATACTTCTCAACTCGTATATGTAGCATAACAATTACTTGTACTTGTCAGCTCATACATATTGCAGTCATAACTCCTATATGTAGCATAACAATTACTTGTACTTGTCAGCTCATACATATTGCAGTCATTATCATACTTCTCAACTCATATATGTAGCATAACAATTACTTGTACTTGTCAGCTCATACATGTTGCAGTCATTATCATTCGTATCAACTTGTACATGCAGCAGTTATTATTATATGTATGAACTTGTATATGTAGCAGTTACTCGTACTTATCAACTCATACATGTAGCAGGTGCTTGTACTTCTCAACTTGTACATGTAGTACAAACTTTCATCAACTTGTACATGTAGCACTTGTCTCACTTATCTACTCACATATGATGCAGTCACAATTAAATCTTACTTTAAGAAGTACATGAAGAAGTCACTATTAAATTAGTCATCAATGAGCACATGAAAACTTAATTAGGTCAGGTTGAACTCTAAACAACATAGACCCTGACATGCTGTCCCACAATGCACTGGTTGATCAGGGTCTATGTTGTTTACTGATTATTCATAGCTGCATTGACCCAGATGTGGTGGAGCATTATGCGTGGTAGACATGGATCCAAGCAGTTCGTATTTAGATCTGAATTATACACAAATGTCAACAGCAACTCCAGATAAATAATCCATGTCAATGGTTTCATGATCTGGAAGGTTTATGGAATTGTGCAGCACTTTAGTGGTGGCATCACTGGGCCTTTTCCTCTCTGCCATGAAATTTAGTTGAATATCGTACACTAGACACTGGAAGCTGAATATCCTTTCATTGTCTATGTCATGGAACAAGACCGAAAATACCTTCTTTGTCTATGTCTTGGAACAATGTTACATCCTTGGAAAAACAGGGATTCCAAATGAATAAATGATAATGCATCAAGTACACTTACAAAATATTTGGCAAATATTTCTAATGAATAGGTAAGCATCTATCAGAAAAATAGAAAATGAATATTTTTCATATATAAATAGGCAAAGTTTCTGCCTTATTTATTTCCAGCTAGTTTTGTGCCACCCATTTTCTGAATCACATCCTGATGCAAGATCACAACCCAACTCCTACATTCAATGTAACCACTGTTCATCATTTTAAGTTTCTTTTCAATATTCATTTTGTGAAGTCTCTCAGGTTGAAAATTATTTGATGACTAAATTATTACCTGATGATGACCTGTAAAGAAATTTAAATGGTTGAGTTATATCGAAAATTCAAAAGTATTTCATACATCAACAAACAAAAATCCTTTTTTTCTCCAATTTTTAAAATGTATATTCTCACTGTTAATACTGCACTGTTTTATTAAAGACAAAAGACTTGCCTATTTCCTTCTATAACTTCATAGAAATATATCTATTACTGGAATATTGAACCTTCAGCATTACACATTTGTGTCTAACATTTTTAATTCCTTATTATATAGTGTATACATCAATATGGCCTCATGGAGATACCTGTAAGCTAATTAAGGTGTATACATCAATATGGCCTCATGGAGATACCTGTAAGCTAATTAAGGTGTATACATCAAGATGGCCTCATGGGAGATACCTGTAAGCTAATCATGGTGTATACATCAAGATGGCCTCATGGGAGATACCTGTAAGCTAATCATGGTGTATACAAGATGGCCTCATGGAAGATACCTATATGCTAATTATGGTGTATACATCAAGATGGCCTCATGGGAGATACCTGAAAGCTAATCATGGTGCATACATCAAGATGGCCTCATGGGAGATACCTGTATGCTAATTATGGTGTATACATCAAGATGGCCTCATGGGAGATACCTGTAAGCTAATTATGGTGTATACAACAAGATGGCCTCATGGGATATACCTGTAAGCTAATCATGGTGTATACATCAAGATGGCCTCATGGAAGATACCTGTAAGCTAATCATGGTGTATACAAGATGGCCTCATGGAAGATACCTGTATGCTAATTATGGTGTATACATCAAGATGGCCTCATGGGAGATACCTGAAAGCTAATCATGGTGTATACATCAAGATGGCCTCATGGGAGATACTTGTATGCTAATCATGTGATGTATACATCAAGATGGCCTCATGGGAGATACCTGTAAGCTAATCATGGTGTATACATCAAGATGGCCTCATGGGAGATACCTGTAAGCTAATCATGGTGTATACATCAAGATGACCTCATGGGAGATACCTGTAAGCTAATCATGGTGTATACATCAAGATGGCCTCATGGGAGATACTTGTATGCTAATCATGTGATGTATACATCAAGATGGCCTCATGGGAGATACTTGTAAGCTAATCATGGTTTCAAAAGTCATGTACTATAATTCTGACATACACAAATATGCATCTTTTCTAAATCAATCTGCTCATCTTTTTTGTTAATGCAAGTTTTATGTGTGAATGATAAAGCAAGCAAATCTCATTTCCCCTAAATTTCTATCTTAATTGATGCAGTTTTTATTCCTAGCTTCACTTTCTCCTTTTATTTCTAGCTAAAATTCCATCCCTTTCATTTCTAGCTGTCACTCCTTTTTTTTCATTTCTGTATCACACTCCCTCCCTTTCATTTCTATTTATCACTCTCTCAACCTTTAAAACCATTCCAGTGGTATAGTGGTTAGAACGTATGCCTCAGATGCAGAAGGCTGTGGGTTCGATCCCTGGCCAGGTCATACCAAAGACTTACAAAAATGGTACTAACAGCTGCCTCGCTTGGTGCTCAGCATTAAGAGGTTAGTGTTGGGACTAGTTGGCCTGGTGTCAGGATAATGTGACTGGGTGGGACATCATGCTACATGTCTGCGGCATGATGCCCCAGTGCTAGATATCACTAAACTGCCACAATGCAGATATCATAGCAATATGACTGAAAAATTGTTATAGCTACGTTAAAAATCCAAATCTCTCTCTCTCTCACACACACACTTCAAGATCTCATTCCCTCTTTTAATTTCTAGCTTCCATCCTTTCCCTTTCATTTCTATCATTCTCATTTTTAGTTATCATTCCCTATAATGTCTAGCCACTCCCACCTTTCATTTCCAATTATCCCTCTTTCCCTTTCATTTATATTCATCAATCTCTACCATTCATTTCAAGATCTCACACTTTCATTTCTAGTTATGACTCCCTCCCTTTCATTTCCAGTTACTCCTCCCCTTTCATTTCCAATGATCACTCTTACCCTTTCAATTCTATCACTCCATCCCTTTCATTTCTAGCTATCACTCCCTCTTTTTTATAGATATCACTCCCTCCCTTTCATTTCCAATGATCACTCTTACCCTTTCAATTCTATCACTCCATCCCTTTCATTTCTAGCTATCACTCATTCTTTTTTTGTAGATATCACTCCCTCCCTTTCATTTCTAGCTATCACTCCCTCTTTTTTGTAGATATCACTCACTTCCTTTCATTATTAATGATCACTCTTTCAATTCTATCACTCCCTTCCTTTCATTTCAAGCTATCACTCCCTCTTTATTGTAGATATCACTCCCTCCCTTTCATTTCTAGCTATCACTCATTCTTTTTTGTAGATATCACTTCCTACCTTTCATTTCTAGCTATCACTCCCTCTTTTTTGTAGATATCACTCCCTCCCTTTCATTTACAATGATCACTCTTTCCCTTTCAATTCTATCATTCCATCCCTTTCATTTCTAGTTATCACTCCCTCTTTCATTTTGTAGATATCACTCCCTCCATTTCATTTCTATTTATCACTCCCTCTTTTGCAAATACCTAGATGTAATATTCAATTATTCCACACAAATTGTTGCAGGCAACACTGTATTCTAAACTTGTTTCTTTAGCAGCATGCTGATACTACCTTGCTATCTGCAGAAAGCATACTCTAATTAAGTTAATGGCTTTTTAATTAAGTTAATGAGGTATTAATAAGTTAATGAGGTTGTGCTTCATTTGATGAAAACCTTTCTAAAATGGAATAATTGTGTGATTGGTTAGAACAAAGTTGCCTCTAGGTTTTTAAATATTTAGGCCATATGCCCCAATAAAACTGGAAAAAAAGGGGGAGGGGCAAGTACTCAAATCAGAGAATCTTTTTGTTTATTTTAAAAGACATCAGATACATTAAGACTATCAAGCAAAATGGTGATGATGATTATTATTATTATTATTATTATTATTAGTAGTAGTAGTAGTAGTAGTAGTAGTAGTAGTAGTAGTAGTAGTAGTAGTATTGTTGTTGCTGGTGGCATTATTATTATTATTATTATTATTATTATTATTATTATTATTATTATTATTATTGTTTTGCATGGTCATTGCTCCACATTAATCACATGTTTGTGGGAGGGTAATTCCACATGTTTGTGGAAGGGTAATTCCACATGTTTGTAGGAGGGTAATTTCACATGTTTGTGGGAGGGTAATTTCACATGTTGATAAATGTAGATATTGGAAAAAAAAAACCACTTCCATTTGAGAATTTTTCATTACAATTTTCAAAAACTCATTACAAAACATCTATCACTTATTTTGAGTCATGGTCTGGTCTTTTTCCATTTCTTATTATCAGTGTATTGCATTGTCTTGGTGTTGATTATACCATTTTCATCAAGCTCATTTCTGTAGCTAGTTTTATCATCACCATTCAGTCCTTTCTTTAGAAATGTCTCTCTAAATATCAAAAACTGTAAAATGTACACAATGTGGGGCATTTGTCTAGTTGGCTACATGACAGTTATGACACCAACTAGATCTTCATGCATAAATTAAATAAAAAAAGGTGTAGGATTTACACAATACTGAATTTTTGTGCCATTTTGAATGACTTCAATTTTATAGCATATTTTCAAATTTTGAAATCATTCATCCCAGCTGTAACCATGTTTGAAGAAAAGCTGTACAGTGTACCACCCCTTCTGCCAATACATAATGGTCTCTCATGACAGGTGGTCTCTCATAGCAGGTCATAATGCTATATAATCAGTAAATCTGTACATAGAGAATCTGGTCTTTCATAGCAGTGGTCTCTCAAGACAGGTTTTACTGTATTTTTGTTTGAATGGATCCAGATACTTGTACTGGATTCATCAAGAAGTGTTCAAAATCCATTTTGTGCTAGTGTCCAAAATCCATTTTGTATTAGTGTTCAAAATCCATTTTGTATTAGTGTTCAAAATCATTTTGTATTAATGTTCAAAATCCAGTTTGTATTAGTTTTCAAAATTAATTTTGTATTAGTGTTCAAAATCCATTTTGTATTAGTGTTCAAAATCCAGTTTGTATTACATAGTTAAGAAAGTGTTCAAAATCTATTATAGTTGTATTGGATAGTTAAGGAAGTGTTCAAAATCCATTACAATTGTATTGGATAGTTAAGGAAGTGTTCAAAATCCATTACAATTGTATTGGATAGTTAAGAAAGTATTAAAAATCCATTACAATTGTATTGGATAGTAAAGGAAGTGTTCAAAACCAATTACTTTTCAAGTTTTTTTTGTATAATTATCCAATACTGTTAGAAAAATGTTACTGACCACAACACATTTTAAATATCAGCGATTACAAATGTCAGGAGTTTTGCAATATGCATTAAAATGATGCATCAGAAACAACTGCAGATTGATATAATATACAGTAATTACACATTTCTTAGCTGGACAATCAAAATCAGAACCATCTTAATACAAGACTTTTAGCATTTTAACATATGCATTATGCTGGCATTACATTGTACTGACTGTCCGTGCAAGTCAATTTTGATACAATTGATAAATTACATCTGATTGCTTTCAATTGATTTTTGCATTTATTGGATTACTTACATTTCACTGCATACAAAAATGACTTATATTTGCACTACTGCAAATCAGTTAAATTTGTGGCTGGTTGAAATGTACATGTTTGTGTACTCAACTTGTGTATTTATCAGCTGAAGATCAAAAGAACCCAAAAATATTGACCAATAATATATGTATCACTATGCAATGTTCTCTGTCTTATATGGCTACCCCTAATGCACTGGGAAAGTTGCATTATGACAGGGTGGTCTAGAATGGGACTATATTTGTGAGAAGTAAATTTATATGTATGCAGTAAGAAAGCATATTATTCCATTTTCCCTACAGCTGCAGAATATTCTCTTTATTTATGATGTTGTTTATTTGATTCTTTCCAACATCCCTTTCTGACAGAAAAACTCTTCCCTGTGTCAATGAGTCAAATTACTTATTTTTTCTTCTAAAGTACTTTTTCCATTTATGTGATGACATGTTAAATTTTTAGTAATTAATTATTTCTATACCAATAATTGTACTGAAATTTAGTCCTGCACCAAAACATTTTTAAGAGTACTTAAAATACCTTGTTTATAAGTGAAGTCAAGCATATATTGTCACTTGAGTTTTTGGTCTTTGTCTGGTACTCTGTTGTATTCAAGGTTCAGATTTCTTTTTTTGTGTGAATCAACAAAAGATATATTTTGCCTATGTTGAACAAATCATGATCAACAGCTGTGTGAACACCAAAACTCTATCATAACATTGTCAAGTCTTTTTCCTGTAAATTTCGACATTTGAAGATAATATAATGTTAACCACAGAGGTACATGGTATAATTTACTTTAGCCAGCAATTATCTCAGTAACAAAAGATTTCAGCAGAGATAATCAGATTTCTTTTCTGACCCTATGGATTAAACATTGGCTTTTAACACCTATTAGATAAAATATGAATATTTGCAGGATGTAAATTTGACATTTGTAATGCATATTGCATCAGAGGGATGGTCATCAACAAGGATTACTTTTGTACACAAAATTGTCAGTGCCAAGAATATTGGCTGTGCAAAGGAAGTGGCCATTGGTAAAGGGGGAGGGGCATATAGGAGGGGACCATTATATCAACATTCAGTACCACACATCTTTGAGTAAACATGCTTAACCCCTAATTAAGTTCATTAATTCAATTATTTTTTGCTAATAATTATCATAAGTATAGAGATCTTAATCAAAGAAAATGCTGATATTCTTTCCATACATATACAAGTAAACAATTTTGAATCCACTTTTTAATTAATACTAATTCCATTATTCATAATTCTAAATGACCACTATCAAAACTGAAATCTCTCAAAATAAAGGACAATTAGGTACGATCTTTTAAAAATAAATCACAATATTATCACTAAATCTGGCAAGGAACAAGAACATGACATTTAATGAAACTCGGGAGCTATGAGGATTGCAGGATTCAGTTTGATGACCCGACTGTAGCACCCAAGATATAATCTGAACTTGGATAACTATCTAAAGACGGTAGTAATCTTGTGTTTTTAAAGTGCAGTACATGTTCAGCCTTGCTGTCGTACTTAAGGAAAATGGCATACAAAGTTTATGCCTGCTGTTGTACCTAAAGGAAAATGGCATACAAACCTTATGCCTGCTGCACACACTGAGATGTTGCAACTCTTGGATTTGTCAAGTTCTATAAGAAAGTGGTGAAATCATTCTTTCATAAGTGCATTCACCTGGGGGGGGGAAATGACATTTAGTGTACCATGGGAGCCAAAGGGTACACCATCTTGAGGCCATCCTATAATTAAGAATATTACACTGTATATATATATATATATATATATATATATATATATATATATATATATATATATATATATATATATATATATATATATACACACACATA